CTTTTCTCCCAAAACTTATTACTAAAATCACTAAACTGGCCACATCCCACTAAGAATTTCGAACGGGGAAAGACGTTTGATAAACGGGGAAAGACGTTTGATAATTCCAAATTCAATTTTCGTTCAGTCATGTGACCAAAATGATGAAGTCATGTGTTCAAATTGTTTCATCATTTTGGTCACATGACTTCACGATTTGACAGTGCTATTTATAATCATTATTCTCAGTTAACTTCGAAACAACTCAGTATATTACAAGATGGAGATCATATTTTCGCTAAAAGGCAGATCATATTATAAGATAGATACTAGATAGATTGTTTATTACGATTATGGAACTTTAACATGAACATAATACGAATATTTCATATATTCTGTTGCATTGACCTTCGTTTGGATGTTTGTGACCTTGTTTACGTTTGAATAACTTGACTGTTGAGCAACGAATTTCTGACGTTTAATTCAAAACTACGCACTTGATTGGATAATAAAATTAGAAACCCATGTACAAAAATAAATTGATAACAAAATCGTGAAGTCATGTGACCAAAATGATGAAACAATTTGATCACATGACTTCATCATTTTGGTCACATGACTGAACGAAAATTGAATTTGGAATTATCAAACGTCTTTCCCCGTTTATCAAACGTCTTTCCCCGTTTGAAAATCTTAGCGGGATGTGGCCAGTTTAGTGATTTTAGTAATAGTATGAGAGTGCCAATACGTATAATCCTCTGACACCCCCCCCCCACCCCAAACGTCAGATGCTTTGCTATGTCCCTGATGGTTGTATTCGAAACCGATTTCAGTTTTAAGATATCCCTAGTCTGCTCTTCTAAATGGATACATGAAATCACCTATAGCTTATTTTAAATTTTTTGGCGCCAGGTTTGTGAAGTAACTTACGCGCCAAAAAGTAGCAGTTCCAAAAACAAAAAAGCATATACGATTTGCAAGAATGATGTGTTCTATGTTTATGGGATATTTCGTACAAACGGAATGGAAATTAAAGAAATTGAAGCATAATGGCACTTTTGCATGCATTTTTGACAGGCATACAAAGACATTTGCAACAGATGCCGGGAGACACTTGGGTGGGGGCGACATACTGTAAGGTTCCTGCACATTACCCTGATCCAGGAAATCCTGGTCACTACATGAACGTGTTCAAGACTCCGAATACGCTGAATGATGGACAACAACAACCTGTTGATAATTTCACCCCTAGAGCCAATTTAAAATGTTTTAAAGACGATGTCATTTCACCTGGTGCTAGTGAGGTGAAAGAAGCAGCAGATCGGTAGTTTTGTTGAGGAGAAGTGCATGCATGAGTATATCAGACATCTTGAGGAACTGCAAATTGTATCTATGATAAGAGAGAATTCTGGATTGTACTCCTTCGATTCCGAATTCTAGAGGGGGGGGGGCATTGAAAATTTTAAAAACTTGGAGGGTGGGGCATCGAAATTTACCGATAACCTCAACAGGGGCCCTGTAAAAATATGAGCTTTTTTCAAGACATCTTCATCCCCCCCCCCTCTCGTTTCGTCGTGTATGAGAAAACTATGTCAGATAAATCGCGTGAAGGATAGTTTCGATAATGAAACATTAAAATTGGTCATTGAGACACTTGTAATTAACAAGCTTCTGTACTGCTCTACGGTGTGGTCCAACACGTCATCTAACAATATCAATAAACTTCAATCAGTGCAGAGCTTCGCGTGCAGAGTTATATCAGGGGTAGGAAAGTTCGATCACATAACTCCGGCGTTGCGCGAACTAAATTGGTTGCCAGTGGAAAAGTTATTATTGGAAAGGGATACTGTAATGGCTTACAAGTGTTTTAATGGACTTGCACCTGACTAACTAGTAGATAAATTTATAAAGCGTTCCGACATACATGATCGATCGACAAGAAATCATGACCTCTTGGACATCCCTCTGTATAAATCTGCTGCAGGTCAAAGAACATTTAATTATCGGGGTGTTAAAATATGGAATAACTTGGATGATAAACTAAAAAATATTACATCAATAAAAATTTTTAAGAAAAAACTTAGAGAGATATTACTAAAAGAATCCTATTAAATACATTTAATACTTCATATTCTTTGTACATATTTTAACTAATTTTGAATAAGTATATGTAACATAGGTAGTTTTAGGGGCTGTTTATATGAGGCGAGCCAGCTCGGGTACCCGAGCTAGCTCGCTTTAGGCGGGATCCCGTCTTTGTTAATATTTCCTACTAAATTTCATGTTGCGTTTATATGAGAACCGAGCTGGCCCGCCTAACCGAGGTCCCGCTTCGTGTGACCCGAGACCTCGGGTAAACGGGCTGGGTAGTTTTCCATATAAACGCAACAGGGAGGGCTAGCCCTCCTAGTAGGGCTGGAAATTTAGCAAATACGCATGCTCAAATAATTAGAATAATTCAGACTGCACAAACAACTCCCATATAAGGAACCAACTTCCATATATGGAGTTGTTTACGCCAAAAAAAATTAGAACACGAAGAGCCAGCCCTTCATGTAAGTTTCATGTAAACGCGTGGTGAAATTCATCTCGGAGAAGCGAGCCAGCTCGTGTACCCGGGCTGGCTCGCTTCCATATAAACAGCCCCTTAGAAGTAATTTATAGTAATTTTAATATGTAATGTAGTGTTGAAAAGCCCTCAGGGGAATACGCAATAAAGTATATATGTTATATCAAGCGGGACAGACGTGTCTAGAATCGCTCCTCAGCTAACTGTATATTTCATGTTAAATATGAGCGATAATCCAACAGTGTCGATGATTAATAAAATGAAAGTGCCAGAGCTTCAAGCTGAACTAACAAAAAGGCACCTTGATACGAAAGGTATAAAACAAGTCTTGGTCAATCGACTTCTGTCGAGTTTGGAAATTGTAGAGCCTGAAGCGGCGAACGACAGCAACGACGATGAACAACAAAATAAAGCCGAAGGAAATATGGAATTGGCCCAAGACGATGAACAAGACGACTGTAAGGACGATGAACAGGATCATAGCAAAGACGAAAACCAATCTTCGCTGCATGAACTATACCCAAATTATAAACACCCCTATTCCTACGAGAATGCCATTCAAGACATTAGACTGCAACTAAATACTTTACAATGCAAATTCGAAGATTACAAAACTGAAATGTCTAATGATGCATCGGGAACAGGTAGTCTTCGCGATGAAAACAAGCGTTTGAGATGTGAAAATACAGATCTAACTGAGAGAATAAATAATCTTGGATTCATCCTGGCCGACCTCAATACAAAATTAAAGATCGCCGAAGACGAAAAGGCTAGCCGTTTAACTGCTATCCGATTAATACAGTCCGATGGCGATGTCAAGTTAAGCAACAACAATAACATCATGACAACAAAGCACCTAACCCAGAATACCTACAAAGAAGTCGCTTCAAGACCAAAGAGTAGAAATATTAATGGAAATTCATCATCGAAACAAGATAATCTTAAAACTACCGCCGCAGGCCCTAATCTGGTAAACGTTCTGGGTTCAAACCGTTATTCTCCGTTAGAAGTTGAGACGGCAGACGAGTCAGAGCAAGAAATCATAAGTGCCGATGAGGCAAGACCAACAAGCCATGGCCGAAAGCACGACTCAAAGACACAAAAGTCTAAGAAAACAACTAGCGATCCCCTCAACAAAGTCGACTGCAATTCCAGCAATGTATCAACAATCCACGACCTTGATTCCGTTACAATCCTTGGAGATTCAATGTTAAAGCGGCTAGACGTAAACAGAGTACGACGCTCTATAGACAGCAATAAAAGGGTGATTATTCGCACGTTTTCTGGAGCAACTATTGAAGATATGAAACATTATGTTGAACCTACGTTAAAGAGAAGTCCTAAAGCAATCATTGTCCACGCTGGAACGAATAACATCCCAAGGGATCGACCCGAAGAAATAGTAAGTAAACTAAATGATCTTGGTCAACATATAGAGCAAAATTCAAAGTGTCGAGTTATTATATCAAGTCTGATCACTCGAAGTGACGATAACCTTAATGCGAAAATTAGTACTACAAATAACTTGTTGGCTAACTTATGTTTAAAAAATAACTGGTTGTTTATTAAACATATCAACATTAGTAAAAATCACCTGAATGCTTCTGGGCTTCATTTAAATGCTAGAGGTACGTCCACCCTAGCTAGAAATTTAATTGACTGTATAAAACATTGACAATTAAAAGTAAATTTAGACATAGAAGCAAATCTAGACGTTTCAAATCATGAATCTATTTCATCATCTATTTATGAACAGCACTCGTATCCGAAACTAAAGGGCTTTAAAATAGGCCATCTTAACATAGCTAGCTTGCCAAAACACTTAGACGAACTAACTATAGTTATCAATGAACTATCTTTTGATGTAATTACAATTAACGAAACAAGGCTAGATGAAAGTTTCAATGACCGAGATGTCAGGATTAGTGGATATGACATAATACGCCGTGATAGAAATAGGCACGGCGGAGGAGTTGCCATTTACATCAGGAATAATATTCCTTATATCCAGCGACACGATTTACTCGTCCAAGACTTAGAGTCAATTTGTGTTGAGATTAAAAAACCTAAAAGTAAATCTTTTCTGATATCTACATGGTATCGACCACCAAACTCCCCTATTGAACTCTTTGAAAAATTTGAAAATAATCTGCATTTAATGGAGAATGAAAACAAAGACTTAGTTATCACCGGCGACTTTAACTGTGATTTACTTTCAACAAACAAAGACGCACCTACTAAAAAACTCCCAGACCTTTTAGACATATATCAATTACAGCAACATATACAGATACCAACAAGAACTACCTTAAATAGCAAAACATTAATAGATTTGATGATCACTAAAGTAGAAGATACAAAAACTATTGATAGCGGGGTGATAGACTTGGGGATTAGTGATCACAACCTTGTATACATTTGCCGTAAAGTGAGTATCCCTAAACAGCCTCCAAAAATAGTCGAGACAAGGCAATTCAAAAATTTTAACACGGCAGCGTTCCAGCATGACTTACAGGAAACATTTAAAACATACAGTATGTATGTATGTATGTATGTATGTATGTATGTATGTATGTATGTATGTATGTATGTATGTATGTATGTATGTATGTATGTATGTATGTATGTATGTATGTATGTATGTATGTATGTATGTATGTATGTATGTATGTACGTACATGTATGTATGTATGTATGTATGTATGTATGTATGTATATATATAT